ATCAAGAAGATCCAAGAAAAGACGTGTTTTGAGAGTTACGATAGTAACTGGTGTTGGCCGAGCTTTTGAATCTCGGGAGCTCACACCATGTTTTGTTGATTTGTATCGGAATTGGCGCAACAGAAGCGTGGGAGAAGTAGCATCTTAGACTGTTTTACCGTTGTCGCTTGTGAATTTACATGATGTGGCATGTGCCTAAGTTGAGGAAGTTCATTTATTCGGATGAATGGTGTACAAGTGAGAGATAATTTGACTGTTGAGGCGTTGCTTGTTCGGATTAATGAACGAGAAACAACTTTGAGGTAAAGAGATTGCCTTGGAAGAGGTGGTTTTGGGAGGACCAACTAGAGAAAGTTGGAAATGGGAACTTAGAGATCAGTTGAGGGAGTCGTATCCGACTCTGTTCATTAAGGTAATTTTCGAGGGCGAAAATTCTTTTAAGTGGAGGAGAGTTGTAACACCCCGAATTTAATCGGAATATTTTAATTTATTTATTTAATTGAGAATATTCATATTTTTGGTGTTTTCGGTGGTTTTGGGAATTGCTGAGAAAATGTGCATTTTGGACTATTTATTTAATTAATAGTATACTATATGAGAATATTAGTATTATTATTGATTAAAATGAATATAAGTGAAATAAGGGTAAATTGGGCATTATGAAGAGTTAGTAAGGGTGTTATGGGAAAAGGCCAATTGTGTGGCCCAAGTCTAAGTTTGACAAAATAGAATTCTGAAGGTTTAAGATTCATTTTGTTAACCGTGAAAAAAATGAGGCCAGAGCTCTGATGGAGGGAGAAGTGGAGGCAAAAGCTTCGAAAGATCCCGAAGTTAATCGTGAAAGCTACGAATCGGCTAAGGTATAGGGAGTATCACATTTCATGGTTTTCTATGTATGCCTTTCGGTGTGTTTATGGTGGGGTTTATGATTTAGGGTATGTTGGGTTAAGTTTGGAGAATTAGGGAATTGATGAATAGACTTTGAGGTTATGATTGATGATATGTATCCCTGAATATTGACATGGATTTAGTAAACCTTATCGGACTGTTTGATGTGTAACATGAGAAAAGAAACCTTAGGCCTTCGTGGCCAAAACCTTGGATTGTAATATGTTTGACCCTGTAGGAATAGGTATATTCAAATATGAGTAACTCTGACACACTCAGAGCAATTGCAGGAAAATAGTATTTTAGGCAGTGCAAATGTTGCCGGATTGACCTAATAAACCATAGATTTTGTGTCGTGACCGCCGTATGACCTTGGGGATGATTTAGGGATGTTTTGGAGGCATTTGGGAAGCGAATCGTGTGGACTTTTGGGTTAATTTAGGTTTTCGTGTGTAACAGCGTTTTGCTGTCTGTCACGACTGTTCATGTTTTCGATCGAAATCGTTTTGGACGTAACTTTTGATCCGTAAGTCTGTTTTGACCCCCGTTCGAAGCGTTGGAAAGCTAATAAACAGGGCTATAAAATAGTATAGATAAGGGAATTGGTTTCCCAATATTTTTACATCTAATTATGTTTGTGAAGTCAATTGGGTATATGTTCTAGTAACGAATCATGTTCTGGTTCAATGATGTTTTGATGTTTTGATGCTGCGATTTTCTTGATGAATTACCATGGGGGTAACTGTGATAATATGATGAATTAACATGAGTAAGACTGTGAAGTTTATGTGATTGATAGGCGATAGTGTGAGGATTACCGCGAGTATAATTTGATAAATTAATATGAGATAATATGGGATAGTATTATGAATTAATATGGGATAATATGTGATAATATGACTATGAGCTAATATGTGATTTGTACGTAATTATATGATGACATGATGTGTGAGATTAAGTATTATGATGATATGATGTTTGATGAATTATGTGATAACATGAGATATGATGATTTATGTGATGACGATGATTATTATGATGAGTTATGTGAGATACGGTGATATGTTGTATAATGATGATTACTGTGATGAGATATGATAGTATGATGTATGATGATTATTATGATGAAATATGATGATATGTTGTATGATGGTGATTACTGTGATGAGATATGATAACATGATGTATGATGATGATTGTTACGATGAGCTATGATGACATGATTTATGATGATGAATATGACGGTGAGACATGACGTGTAATGATGATGAATATGATGAATGATGATGCACCATATGTTGTTATTATGAGGATTATTGTGAAGTGTGCATCATACATTCATGTGCATCCGGACTTTGGTTCAGGACTTTGATTACTTTGGCTTCAATCCCACTGTGTGGATGTGAAGTATTTTGACGTGCTCCGATCCTATTGATGGGGATCTATGGAGGGTTGATGGCCTAGTGTCCATCGAGCTGTGATGATTGGTACCACATGCATTAAGTCTATGTTGCATCTGCATTTATGAGCCTTTGTGTATAAATTATGACGTTGTGGCCTTTGAGGCATATTTGAAGGATATCAATGTGTTGAATATAACTATGAGTAATATGCCGTTTATGCATTAATTGTTATACATTGATTATTATGAATTGTTTTACTCACACTGTTTGTTTGAATGTTACCTCCACGTGGGTAACGTGCAGATGAGCAAGTTTAGCTATGGACGCCGTCGAGGAGTATTTTGAAGTTTTAGAGTCGTTAGCCTTATGGTTAATTTAGAGGGTCTTGCTCTGATATGTAACATCGGGTTGGGTTCTTTGAGTTGATTGTATATCATTGGGTTATTTTACTGATGTTCCCTTATGAGGAAAACATTGAGTTATATTTGAGTTCCGCTGTATATGATGTTTTGATATATTTTGAGAAAATCCGTGTGTTACGGAGTATTGACCAATTTTGTTGACTTTGAGAAATGTACGCCCTTTTGTGGCTTTTTAATGAAAGTTAATATTTTACTCTGAAATCCGTGTTATTTTTCCGTAATATCTGTGGGTTAGAATAAGGGTGTTACACAATACCTGGCAAAAAATTTGTCAAAGTGTTGGATTGGTAAGTAGATTCATGGAGAAACCCCCAAGAATGTCATCTTACTGCAGTTAAGAGGGTTTGAGATACATAAAGGGTACGATTGATCATGGTTTGATGATGCCAAGGAAGAAGAATTCCAACACAGATACAAAAGTATATGGCTACACTGATTCAAATTTCAGCGAAAATCAAGACGAAAAGAAGAGTATTGCAGGCTACATATTCATGATCGAAGGTGCTCCAATCTCATGGAGCTAAAGGAAGCAAAACATTATACCTTTGTCATCTTGTGAAGCTGAGTACGTGGCTGCATCATATGCATCATGTCAATTGTAGCATGAATAGCGATGTTGTTTGAAGAGCTCAAGTTAATGGAACTTAGGAAAATGAAGTTGTTTGTCGACAACAAGTCTGCTATTGACCTGACGAATCATCTAGTGTGTCATGGTCGAAGTAAGCATATAAAGAGGAGATATCATTTTCTAAGGGATCAAGTCAACAAAGGAAAACTTGAACTTGAGCATTGCAAGGCAGAACCTGAAGAAAGTTAGATTCGATGAGTTGAAGAGAAGCATCGGGATGAGAAGTCTCGAAAACATGAATTAGGGGATGTGTTAGAAGTTGCAATTCGATGTTTTGATTGAAAGCTAGCATTCGACTGTGTCAGAGTAACTAGTCAAAGTTCAAGAGCCAACTGTATTCGACAAAGTCGAATACAACATATGGTAGTGTCTATATGTAACCTTCAATTGTATACTTTACATTTTGTACGTTTTAAGTTTGGGCCAGTCTGTACAGTTTGAGTCTGAGCTTTTGTTACCTATATAAAGGATTTTGTATGATGTAAACCTAAAACAACACTCAAATTCTAATTTTTATAATTCAATTTTCAATTTTCGTATTTTTTTCTATTATTCTTCTCTATCTTTCTTCTTTCTTGAAAACATTTATTCCAACAAAAATTACTTTTTAATTAATCCATAAAAACCAACCTTCAATCATCCAAAACCACTTAATTCACAATCAATAATTACAATGACAGAAATAAACACACTAAAAAAGCAGAAGAAACCAAAGAGTCCCACACAACAATAATAAGTAATATTACTAAAGTCCACCACTACTACAACTACAACTACATACACACACACACTTTGTGATATTTTTGTTTTTTAAAGTAAAACAAAGTCCTCTTTTTATTACTATTTTTTCTGTTAGTTTTCGTGTGTTTGTGTTTGTGTTGTGTGGTGTCATTGTGCGTCTATTGCTTTTGGACTCTTCCCATTCCATTTCATCATCCATTAAACCTGTCTCTTTTCTTTCTTCTCTTATCTCTCACTGCTTCCATGTCGGCCATCATCTCTTCCCTTTCAATTCAATCCACCTCATAATTCTTTCACAAGATCTCAATTGAGATTATTGTGTTGTCAGTACTTTTTACCTGGATCTTGAACTCTGTTGTTTTGGTTCTGTTTATATAATGATTCAGTTGTAGTTTTTTTGGTTGTTTTAGTTCATGTGTATGTGATGATTCAGTGTTTTTTTCTCTGTTTCATTCTTGCCAACCCTTTGAAATTTTCTGTTTGAACAATTGTTTTAGAAAAAACAGAACAGAGAAAAAATTTGGTGGGTATGAACAATTTCCATGAAATTTCTGATTTTGATAAACATGGCAGAAACCCTTTGACATTTCAAGGCTCTCAGCACATTAGGATTTTTTTGGTGTCAAAGTTTTGGAGACAAAGTAGTTAATTGACATCAAATTTGAAGAAAAAAAATTGAACTTTATGAAATCTGAATTATTCTGTCAGCAAAATTGAGGATTCAAGAGAAGCAAGCAGTGAGCAACTGTGATCATACATGACTTTTCAGGTAGAAAAAAAGTCATAATTTGCAACTTTTCTAAAGTTTTAATTCATGGAAGATGAAAATTAATGTTTTTTTTGTGGGTCATGAATTATGTTACTTAAATTGGTAAACTAATAAAGTTGCAGAAATTTTGCAGTGAAAGTTTTTTGAAGATGAATACATTTATGGATTCTAGAGACAGTAACTCATCAAAAGAAGATGAAAGGTGTTTAGATCCTCAGCTATGGCATGCTTGTGCAGGTGGAATGGTTCAGATGCCGGCGGTTAACAGTAAAGTGTATTATTTTCCTCAAGGTCATGCTGAACATGCATGTGGACCTGTTAATTTCATGAATTGTCCAAAGGTGGAGCCTTTGATTCCATGCAAAGTTTTTTCTGTTAAGTTCTTGGCTGATCCTGAAACTGATGAGGTTTATGCTAAGGTTAAGCTTGTTCCTTTGAGTGGAAATGGAAATGGTGTAGATTATGACAATGATGTTGCTGGTGTTGAAAATCAAGATAAGCCGGCTTCGTTTGCGAAGACGTTGACACAATCTGATGCGAATAATGGTGGAGGATTTTCTGTTCCTAGGTATTGTGCGGAGACGATTTTTCCGCGGTTGGATTATGCGGCGGATCCTCCTCTTCAGAACATTTTGGCTAAAGATGTTCACGGCGAGACGTGGAAGTTTAGGCATATTTATAGGGGGACGCCGAGGAGGCATCTTTTGACTACAGGTTGGAGTACTTTTGTTAATCACAAGAAGCTTCTTGCTGGTGATTCGATTGTGTTTTTGAGGGCGGAAAATGGTGATCTTTGTGTCGGGATTCGACGGGCGAAGAAGGGTATCGGTGGTGGACATGAGGATCCTTCAGGGTGGAATCCTGTAGGAGAAAAGTTTCCTCTACCTTGGTTTGCACAGAATGAGAATCAAATAATGAGAAACATTAACAACAACAATGGTTTGAACTCGAGTGCGAATGTGACGGGGAGGGAAAAAGTTAGGCCAGAAGCGGTCCTTGAAGCGGTAACTTTAGCTGCGAATAAGCAACCGTTTGAGGTTGTTTACTACCCTCGCGCAAGTACACCGGAGTTTTGTGTTAAGGCGCATTTAGTAGAGGCGGCAATGCAGATTCGGTGGTGTTCTGGAATAAGATTCAAGATGCCATTTGAAACCGAGGATTCGTCTCGAATAAGTTGGTTTATGGGAATTGTATCTGGAGTTCAGTTTGTTGATCCCCTTCTCTGGCCTAATTCACCTTGGAGACTTCTTCAGGTAACATCAAATTGCATAATACCAAAATGTTGTGATCTCACTCTTGCTAATGTTTTTAATTTTTTATAGACCGAAATTCTTCTCTCGTCTCTATTATAAGCAAATATTCTCTTTTTATGTTTATCAAATGATTAATGTATCTGATCTATACACAAGTTATTCAATGAACCTTGAAAATGAAATCTTAACTTATAATAGTGACTGGAGGGTGTAGCTTATCGTCAATAACCTGCTTAGCTATTGCGAAAATTTGGTAGTAATGCTATGGCTCATTAATTTGCTCATATTATTAAATTTGTAGGTTAAATGGGATGAACCAGATTTACTGCAAAATGTGAGAAGGGTGAGTCCATGGTTGGTTGAATTAGTAGCAAGCGTTCCATCGATAAACCTTTCACCTTTCTCGCAACCAAGGAAGAAATTGAGAATGTCGCCACACTCAGATTTCCCCCTCGACGGGCAAATTCCGATGCCAACTTTTTCTAGTAACCTTCTAGGTACGAGCAACCTATTTCGTTGTCTACCCGAAAATACTCCTGCTGGCATGCAGGGAGCCAGGCATGCTCATTACGGTCTTCCAATATCGGATCTCCACCTCAATAAAGTTCAGTCAGGTCTATTTCCGGCCGGTTTCGTGCCTTTTGATCATGCTGCTAAACTACCTAATGTCTCTAATAACCTAATGATGCAAAAATCTAGCATGAGTGAGAATGTCTCTTGCTTACTATCTATGGCAAGTTCTACTCAGTCTTCAAGGAAATTCGATGACGAGAAGAAACCTCAGCTTGTGCTTTTCGGCCAAAAAATTCTAACTGAGCAACAGATCTCTAATGACCGTTCATCTGATGGAAATGCCGATAAAGTAAGTGATTTTTCTGATGGTTCGGGAACTCCTCTTCATCAACAAAACTTACGAAAACGCTCCTCTTGTGAGACCGAGGCGAGTTTCGAGAGTACTGATCACTGTAAAGTTTTTCTCGAATCAGAAGATGTCGGTCGATCAATTGATCTATCTTTACTTGAATCTTACGATGAACTGCACAGAAAACTCGCAGACATGTTTGGCATAGAAAAATATGAAAAGGTAAGCCGGGTGCTCTACCGGGATATATCAGGAACAGTCAAACACATCGGAGATGAACCATTCAGGTAAGAGTCACAATCACCACCCTCTTGAATTGCAATTAAATTATCAGCTTATAGTATAATAAGTACTTATATACTTGTTTATGTATAAGTTCTATCGAACATTAACTGAAGTGTTCATGCTAGTAGATAACTGTCTCTGCAGCACCGATAAGACATATCTGTGTCCGTGTCAGACACTGACACCGACAGTGGGATTAGTTCAGTTTATTTATTTATTTTCAAAATATTACTAGTATCGGCGTGTCTGTTGTCTGAGTTTGTATTCGTGGTTATTTGAGTCTGTATTCGTGGTTATCTGATAAGTGAAACAAAACATGCTTGCTTATTATCTCTTTAATGATTTTGCAGTAACTTCACAAGAACAGCAAGGAGATTGACAATTCTAATGGACTCAAACCAATAAACATTCATTCAATTTGTACAGCTTTCATGAAATCCTTCATTGACAAATAGAACAAGGGAGAATGATCAAATTTTGAGTTTGGATTTTGAAGTTTACATTGTAGCGATCATAACTATTAGAGAATTTCCTTCACTCTTTTTGTTTGTTTTATTTTTAACCTTTCTTAATGACTTGAATTATCTCTTTTATTGAGTATTTTGTAGGTGGAAGAGGATAAATTTGATTGGTTTTTTATGTAGTGAAAAAAAAAACAGTATTCAACTTGAATACTTAATTGAAACATTCACCTTTGTAGACATTGTAATTTTACATATATAATTTACTAGCACTTATAATTTAATCAATTTTGAATTATATGCAAATGTAAGTAACATCATCACCTATAAAATTAATTAGGTCATGTCAACAAAAAATTAATAAATGTTTTATTTTGGTTGGTAAGAAATTGGTGCATAATTGGATATTTCTTCAATAGGTAAGAAAGTAATTCGATTGATTAATCTCTACAACTATATCACTGATGAATTAATCTCAGCAAATGCAATAACTTGCACTGTGGATTAAACGGATTAAGCTCTGCAATTGCAATAGCTTGTGGATATCATAGGTGAAGTTGACATGATGAATAATCTAGAATGACATATTTTACACGGCATCATACATATTTACACGCATGACAAACCATGACTTGAATAGAAACTAGCCAGTAATGATCTGACGCGTGTAAGACATTGGCATGAAACAACAAGAAGGAGGATGAAGAAGTCATGAAACAAGGTTTCATCAAGGGGCTTTCAATTCAACTTCCAAGCATGGAATTTTCCTTACCTAAAATTCAATTCAAACCAAACATAGGTCTCATGCTGATGCCGCAAAGTGTGGGAGAGTTTAATTTAATATAGTTAAATGAATTAATGTGACATTTATGTTAGAGGTTTCGGGATTGCAAAACTAGAGTGGTTAAACACAAAGTCAAATAATGTTAGATTCGGAGCGTGACATGCATAAAATATTGTACTAACATTAAAGAAAAAACGACATCATAGGAGTAACAATGAAGGAAGAGCTGGAAAGCAGAGGACACATTCCTATTTAACTGTACACAACAAAACAATCAGTAAAAATAAGTAGTATTATTTATTTTTATCATTTTTGTAATAGACAATTAAAAATAATTTTGTTATTTTGAATAACTATTTTTTTCTATATTATCTCAATAATTAATTAATTAATTTTATCTTTTTATAATAAATAATATTGACAAAACTATAATTTATATTACATTAATCAAACATTTAAAACTAAAAACTTTCTATCTCATGATAACGACGAGTTATTATGAGATACATCACACGAAAATGAAAAATATAAATTTTAATTAAATTAATTTCATATTTATTTCAGCAATAAAAAAATAAAAAAATATTATATATAATAAATTACTTTTAATAAATAATATATTTTTTATTATTAAGAATATAAAATAAATAATAATAATTTAAAATGGATGCATATATTCTTAAATAAACAAATATACAACTGACAAAAATCGATAAAATTTATATTGAAAACTAAAAATAATAGTACTTTATTTAAAAAAATATTTCATAAATTTATATAATAATAATAATAATAATAATAATAATAATAATTTATTATTATTATTATTATTTTTGTTGAGAGAGTAGTAGATAAAGTTGGCACACGTGAGAACATGGGCCATGCATGGTATGATAAAGTAAAGGTAAGAAAAAAAAGACAATACTAGGTTCACGTGTGGGTGACGTCACCAACGGTGGATTTACGCATGTGTTACGGCGTGTTGGCGACCGGGCTGTTTTCTTGTTGCCACTACATTGGTTCTTTGAACTTTCAAGTACTCCGTTTTGGTGTCAAATTAATTGTTATTATAGACACCTTTATCGTACAATTCAAGGAAATGATATTTAATTAAAAAATCATATTACTATCTATGATCTTAGAAATTTTATTTTTTAAATTTATTAAATAATTAATGTATATATAATAGACTAAATATATTAATTATTTAATAAATTTAAAAATCAATTATCTTTTAAAAATAAATTTGGAGGAAGTATGAAATTTTTTGATAAATTCTATCTTAGAATTTTGAAGGGACAGAATGTGACTATGAGATTAAAATAAAATAAATAAATAATTTAATTAAATCATTTTTAAAAAGGGATAGACAAGGAGATTCCCTTGATCTGCTATAGTTTTGTCTTGTTGAAGAAGTTTTAAGTAGAGACATTATAAAGTTAGTTAATCAAGGTGCTTATGAAGATGAGATAAATACACAAGAAGAGAGGTTGAATTGTGTTTTCCATTTCTTAACTTTATCTCTGATCAGAGTTCAGAATCTAAACTGATATTCAGATTCTGATTATATGTTGTAGCAGAATGTTAACAAGGTGAAAAAATGCACAAGAATGAGAGGTTGAATTGTGTTTTTCATTTCTTAACTTTGCCTCTGTTCAGAGTTCAGAATCTTAACTGGTCTTTAGATTCTGATTATACGTTGTAGTGGAATGTTAACAGAAACAAATAAAAGATAAAGAACACATAAAGATTTATATTGGTTCCTCCCAAAAGAGGGTAGTCCAGTCCCCTTGCATCAGAAGAGATTTTCATTATAACCAAAACATTATTATAATCGCTTATGCACTTAAACATAAAACTTTTCTTTGTTCATACCCTCAGCCCGAGACTTTCTGCTTAAATCTCTCAGGTCCAAGACTTCCCTGCTTAGATTCCACGAATCCAAGACTTCTGCTCAAGCCCCTTAGGCCCAAGACTTCCTTGCTTAAGTTCCACGAACTGAAGACTTCCTTGCTCAGGTTTCACGAATATAATACTTATGCTTAAGCCCCTCAGGCTCAATACTTTCTGCTCAATCAGCAAATGATCAATACTTTCAATGCTCTAGCACATAGCAGGAGACTTACTTGGCTCAAGCCTTTTAAAAATGACTTTGATGCTCAAGAGCATAACAAGAGACTTTATTTAAACTACTAAAAAAATCATGTTTAACAGAATAGAGAACAAGGTGTACTTATGTTTACCCTGAAAAATGGTAAACAACCGCTAGTCTCCAAATATATAGTTAACTCGCAGGATCAACCAATGTATCTTAGGGCATAGTGCTTAATGACTTGTTCATTGTTAATTTCTTTGTATCTTAAGGTTATTAGCTTCGAATATGTCGAAGGGGATATGTGAAGATAGTATGATAATAAGTTTCTTGACTTTAATGCAGAAAGTGTAAAGTAAAAATAACAATCTTGAAAGCACTCAAATGAAAATAAAGATTAGGAAAAAGATGAAAACGAAGAAAGCAATGTAAATTGAATAAATTAGGAAACTTTGTATTGAATAATAAACATGATGTTTCATTTGCGCTTACATTCTCTTAATCATTTGCTCATTTCTCTTAATGCTAATACTTTGAGTTTCTTTGTGAGATTTTTGTAATACAAATGAACACACCTAGTCCAATAAAATGAAATACTATATATACAAGCCTAAAATAACTACCCTCTATCGTTTCTTTCCCTTTGATTCTCCACGTGCAGTTCTGCATAAAAGTTTTCCTTCCAACTTCCTTCACATGTCCCTTTGAGATAAGAACCCACGCAGTTACCAAGATTTAAGCGTGACATAATCGCGCCCAAGCAACCGCTTCTTCAACCAGCTTTACTGCAACGCTTCCTTTCTGGTTGAAGCAATTGGTGTTGAGCTACACACTTCAACAAGCCAAATAATTCTATAAGTCCCAGAGTGTGGTCGAATCGCTGCTCTTTCAAAACTTTTCCCCTATTTGTTGGGTCACCCTCACTTGTTGAAAATCCCAGCTAACAAATTACCCTCAAAAAGGCCTCTTTTGACATTTTCTAGGAGATAGGGGCATTTTTGTCCTAAGTGCTCACCTAGTAGGATGGCATCATCCTATCATGACATTTCATTTCAACAATCACCTCGAGACCACGCCTTTTTCCCACTTCTCATATCCCTCATTATCACGACGCCGGATAAATAGGGTAGGGTCCGCTAGGTACAGTGAAACTTACTAACTATCGCTTCCACTTTAGTGACACATCACCCCACTAACTTGGACAGCTCAATAGAGGAACTGACGAGTCTCTTTCATTTTTCCCTATAAATAAGCCATCTTAAAACCTTCAACACTTTTTCCATCATCTTCTCTAATCTGCGAAAAAGGTATTTCAGATAACTTTCTTCAAAGCTTGAAACTTCTCAAAATGGCACCTTCTAGCAAAAATGCTCCATCAAAAGAAATCGTTCCTCACGCTTACGCATTGAGTCATGTTACTGCATTTAGAAATCGGGAATACAGACCAAAACCTCCTAATCTTGAAGAAAAGCTCGTGATCTTCAAATCACAGTGTTGTGTAACACCCTAATTTTAGTATTTATTTATTTATATTAATTAATTAATTAATTGAGTGATTTTGTGCATAATTGATTTATTTGATTTAATTGAATTAATTGAATTATTTAATTTAATTTATTTATTTTATTTGGTGGAATAATATGTGGAAATGGTAGAAATAAGTAATTGGGCTTAGATTAAGACTGTGAATAATAAGTGAGTGAGTGGATTAAGTAAGTCCATCAGAATAATGAGAGATTGTGGGATTTGATAAAATAAGAGAAATAGATAGAATAGAGTTAGAAAAATAGAAAGGAGGAAAAGAGACAAAGTGAGAAATGGAGAAGAGTAGGAGCAAACTCTAAGAGAAAGATCTCTAGAATTCAAGAATCAATGTAAGGGTGGGTTTTTATATGATTATTGGAATTGTATGATAGTGTATGATTAATAGTATCATATTTAGGATAAAAATCCATAATTTTCTTCGTGGTTGTTATATGATAATTATATGATGAATTTGTGTGCCTTATATGTGTGTATTCTTTTTTCTTTTTGAGGATTGAACCTATATCCATCAATTTCAAAGGTT